TGAAGATTTGTTACTACCAGATCTGTTTCTAGAGGGTATAATCTATGGGACTTCAGATATAATATCATTTACTCAGGGCTTTGTGCATGTCCACTGTTTCATCGAGTTTCAGCCTTGCTTACTTTAAGTCTATGAAAACAGGGAGCAGTATTTGTGGGCCAGGACTCACAACATATGGTTTCTAGCTTTTCAAAGAACTTTAATTCTGTTTCCTCTAGAACCTTCTAGCAGCTTCTCTTGGCACCCAAGGTGACAAACGGGCGGGATGGCATTTCAAAGTGGCTCTTGTTTCTCTTTTCAGTGTCTGTGCTCTGGGATCCAGCAGAGACTTTGTTGTTCAAACTCATCGTTCATTTACCCACTGCCTTTCCTACTTCTACAACTTTTATTGTTTCCTCCAGGTTTTGAAAGAATTGCAAAATTTATCAAACATAAATGTTTACTCAAGGAAAGGACTAGGCAGATAGGTGGCTCAGTAGCTTCAGCTGAACCTTCCTCCGAACCATGGTTGTTAAGGGATCAGGTGCTTGAGCAGGAAGTAAAGCTGCTAGCCCGAGGCAGCAGCGGAATGGGGTGCAACCAAGCTGGGACTGGCTGCTGGTGCTCCTGGAAGCCAAAAGGCCATTGGGCGTCCTGTTAAAACTCAGTTGGCTTTTCAGAGGCCCGACCAGTAGAAGGCAGTAATCGCTTAGCTTTCATTGGATCAGGAAGAATGCAATTTACTCACAGGTACTGTTCCTACTGAGCAAGGAGATGGTGGAATATATTTGAATCATCAAGCTTTCCAAGCAGAAGCAAAATGTACTTCTGGACATGTAAAATGCAAATAAGCTCAACCGGCCTCTCTTTTCATCCTAGATATATGAGTTTTGGACTTTCCCGTACCCGACATCAGAATGCTGCCCCACTGCCATGCTCTAGCTGTGGCTGTTGTCCAGATCTTTATCTTCTCAGAAAACCGGGCATTGGCCAAGAACATCAACTTCTATAACGTGAGGCCTCCTCTTGACCGTAAGTGGTGCTTGTCCACATAGTACATGACTGTGGGGGTCCGTGTGACTATTTGGGAGTCCCTGTTTCCACCGATAGTAACTGTGCCTTTTCTGGAGCATTTGGTTTATACCTAGAACAAGTCAGAAAACCTTCACTACTTCTGAAATTTTCTTCATTTCTTTAAAACCGGTTGACTTCATGCTGAAGTCTCAAAAGGGCTCTTGTTTAAAGTTGAACACTATCCCTAAGAATGGCTTAGCAGAGGAAATTCAGTGTTCTTTGTTCATCTCTTCATTGGAGAAGGATATTGGCTACAGGAGGTTTCTGCATCGGTGCTATATTCTTTCAAATGGCCATTAACAGTTTTGAAAACAGATTAGTATGTGTGAAGTTTGGAAGGAAATACTACTTGGATTTTCATTAATATTATGCACAGTTAGAAAAGACTGTATAAAACTCAATTTTCCCACTGATAATTTAAAAATAAGCAAATAGTGTATATTTTCTATATTATCTATAGGATAATTATATATATATATATATATATATATATATAGTATGTATGTTTATATTTTCTATAATTATTGACAAATTTTGAACTTTTTCAGCCTAGTACAATTTTATGATGAGAAAAAATTGTTTTCAAAAAGAGAAAAAAAAGTAATATTTGCTTATTATAGAAAATTCCAAAGAAACAGGAAATGTATAGAAGAAAATAAAATTTATTCATAATCCCAAGTTTCAGAGTGAACTCTTGTTTACATTTTGGAATATTTCCTTCTACTGTTTTTTTCTATGTATGTATATTTTAAAATATGGCATACTGAGAGCACACAAATTTAATTTTGTAGCAGTTTTTCTTCCATTACACTATATTTTAAATATTTTTCTGTGTCTTTTAAATTATTTTAATGCCTTTTACATTCAAATTTTAAAAAATCATATTGCTAATCTATAGGTTATTTAACCAATTCCCTATATTTTATGTAATACACACATATACATACACAATCATAAGCAAGCTAAATGTTAGTGCTTCATTGAAAATCTTTTTAAATGTGTTCTTGTCTTCAATTGGCTAATGACCTTAGAATAGATTCTTGAAATTAGAATTATTAAATAAAAAAGGTTGTACTAATTTATACTTTTACTGTTTACCCACCAGCATTGAGTATTAGTATTTTTTAAACTGGACTGATTTAATAGGTGAAAGTGGATTTCATTTTTTCATTCGTTATTTATCTACCTAATTCACTTTTATGCATAGGCAACACTGAACTGTATTTGCAATATTTAGTTTTATGTCCTCTGAACTTTAGTTTTTGATATTTTGTCCTTTGTTTATGCATCAATGTTCAGAGTGCCAAAAAAATGTATACACGTTTTAAGAAAGGAATAAAACTGTATTAAAATTCCACTGATGGTAACCACTTTGAGCACCTGTTGTAATTGCAGAAGTCAAATGTGACTTGTATTCATCTTTTGTTATCGGTATATATTGAGTATTACAATTTTAATGCAGTTAAATCCTTCTCTGTATCTGAAATACCCACCGCTTTCTAATTATTATCCCAACTTGTGGTCAGGTTACTAGGATGGTTTGGAGTTCACCTTGATCTTTGTCTGTTTCATTCTCCAAAAATGGGAGAATTGAAAGTTTTACAGAGGGCTTTATACCCTGGCCTATAGAAAAATGAGAAATTTATTGTATTTTGACTTTTTGCCCATTAAAACAACAAGATACAAGGCAGGAAAAAAAAACAACAACAACCAGTAAGGCAAAAAGAACGTACTGCTCTCAATCCAGGCTTCCAACAGCTCCTGATCCCTCCTTTTCATAATAACACTCTGGGCTGAGCATAAGGGCCTGAGAATTACTGTCATCCTTATATTCAATGTCCATTCCCGGTTGAGGTCGAATAGACAGCTATCAAATGAGATTGCTTGTTTGAGGTTAAATGTAGCCAGAATACAAGTGCATAAGGATGGAAACCAGCATGATTTGATGTGCCAGGGATTCTACTAGATATTTTTCTTGCAACCTCCTTTTTAATCTTCATTATCCCTCTGCAAATAATGGGGATCTTCATTGTTACTATTATAATACATATTATTATTTCTTTGAAGTTCAAAATCACACAACTAATTAGTGGAAAGGGCATAATTTGAGCTCAGGTTAACCTGACTCCAGTTCTTTCCAGGGACCATGCCTTATCAAATTATTGGTTCCACTGCTGCCACTACCCTTATTCATCCCCTTCAACCCCTACTTATTCCCAAGTTGTACTAAAACAACACCATAGATATTTCAAAGTGGCTTGTGGAATAAATTTCATGACTCTATAGTAGATATTCGCAGATGAAATATTTAAAGAAAAGGGAATAAAAGAAAATGCTCCAATGTCTGGCAGTTAAGTCCAGCTCCCTAGAAACAGAAACTCTGAGGATGATGGCTTGTAGATTCTGTTCATCTAATAAAAGTTACTAATTTTGTGCCATATTTGATATGTAAATTTTTTTGTCTTTTTTGACCTTTCTGTTTCACTGTGCATTTTTCTTTAAAGCTACACCATTTCCAAACAGCTTCAAGTGTTTTACCTGTGAAAATGCAGGGGATAATTACAACTGCAATCGATGGGCAGAAGACAAATGGTGTCCACAAAGTAAGTGTGCTGAGGTTGGAAGACTCCTTTAGGATCACACCTCATTTAGGGTCTCTTGACTGGTTCTTAGCAGCGGCATGTTATGTATGAGACTAGCAAACCAACAGGCTGATGATGCTCTATAGAAATCAAAAGTTTAAGAAACTCTCCAAACATCAGACTACTCTGACAGTACTTGGAAACTGATGGTATAGCCTCAGTTTGCAGTTGTGTGTGACTTGAGGAGGAAATTCTTTTTTTTTTTTTTTTTAATTAATTATTTATTTATTTATTGTTAGTTTCAGGTGTACAGAACAATGCAATAGTTACCCTTTTCACCCTCACAAAGTAACAACCCCCCACCCCCCATCCACTGCCCTCCCACC